TTTTTGTACTCTGTATCGGCAAGTACTCAGATCCAAGTATCGGTATCGTATCGGTTTGAAAAAATTGGTATCCCTAACACTCAGCTCTTCCAGCTGTGCTCTAAACACTACAGTTCCCATGAGCCTCGTGTGCCGTGGTGAATAAAGGGTCGTTAAGCCTGTTGTTGTCTTTATGAAAAGTGTGAAATACCAAAAGTCGCATCACTCGACTGACATAAACCACGCTTTGGTGGGTTTCTAGAGTTTTAAACCTTGCGTGGTTGCTGTTGCCGGGTTACAGACAAGAGTTTTTGACGCTCCAAGACTTCCTGGAAGATGCAGCAGCTGAGAAGAGACCTTTTCTACTCCTACACCTGCCCTGAGGTTTTATCTGATCAGCTCAGGAGAAAAAGAGCAGACAGCACTGGTATAAATGCTGATGCTCACGGTAGCGCTGGCACTTTTACAAGTGACAACAAAACACATCGACTAAATTAACTGAAGACATGTAAAAAGCTCAGAGTCAAATAAAACGAACCTCTCCAGACGAATAGATTCTGTTTTTCTCAGTTTCTCCTCCCAGGTCTCGTTCAGCTCAGCGATGATTTTCTCTGTTTCCTTAAAGCAGAAACACACAAATGTATTGTACTATAAACGCATGACAATAAAACTTCTTCATTCTCATTCAAAAAAGGTGAAACGGCAGCTCCTGTTTGCAGTTTAATCGTAGATGTACAGAAAACTGTTCGTGGATTTCTTTTAAACAGAGAAAATCTAAAAATTTGAGGCTTCCCAGACACGTTCTAAAGTTTTAAGTCAGTTTTTTCATTGGATTTCCAGAAAACTATACAAAAAATAATATATCTTTCTGACAGTGGAAGTCACATGTTTCACAAATTTAGATATGATGGAATTATGACCCGGAAAAGTGCGAGGTGATAAAACGTCTCGCCCTACCATCAGTCTCTCAGCTGCTTCCTCTTTGCTGATGTTCTCTGTGGACTCTCCCTCCTCCCTCTCCTCTCCATCCTCGATCAGCTGATCAGGGTCAGCGGGTGTGTCCCCTTCAGATACCGGCTCAGCGCCTGCACAGGAAATAAAACATTTATTATAAAAACATAATGAACCACTTTTGTAGTTTTTTTAATTAAGTGATTAAACACAAATGCACAGTCTTAGGGTGACCTGAAGGGGCGGGGCCATTCTCAGGCGTGATCCCATTGGATGTGAGAGCCAGCTGAAGAGGGGAGGGGGGCGCACCTGCGACACCACCGGGGCCGTTGTTGATGTTGTTGTTGTTGTTGACTGAAATGCAGAAAGAGAGCAGGGGAGAAAAAAGTGAAAAGGAGGAGGTTTAATTTCTAACATGCTGGCATCTCAGCAATCCTGCTTATGCAACGACAGCTTGTAAATATCCTCACACACACACACACTCACACACAGACACACACACACTCACACACAGACAGACAGACACACAGACAGTTGCTGTTGTCTGTAAATAACCGTCTCTACAGCATGCTGCACATAGACATGCCGTTCATACCAGGTCCAAATGAAAGAACAACAGCATGTGATGTGTACAGGTTATTAGGTCGTAAACAGACTGCATTCCATGTTTATATGAAGTACAGTATCATATAAACATGCACAGCGTTTCTGTGTTTAGCAATGCATAGTGTTCACAATAGAAAAGCACATGCACTTTTTGACATGGAGAGATCAAAATCATGCAGCAG